AAAAAAAAAAGAAAAAGGGAAAAAAAAAGAAAAAGGGAAAGGGCTGGGCCAGCCCTGGGAACAAGGAGCAGCCCCCACTCCTCTCCCCCCTCCTCATTTCCCACCTCCAAGCCCCGCAGGTTATCATGGAGCAGCCGCAACCCTCTCCCATCATTAACTCGGAGATATTCCATCGTTTTTCCAAACTGCTGAATTTATTGTGCTAAAGAGCTGCTTCATTCAGCGTACACCGCTCCAGAGCTGCATATAGAAGTGCTGCGATACAATTCCAGTTACAAAAGTAGTTATTCCATAACATGCTGCCCGCGGCACCGTCCCAGCCCGGGCACGGCCGGGGACTCTGACTCCTGCCCGCATTCATTCCAGAGGTTTATATGAGACTTTACATGAGATAAAGCTCCTGTACAGGACAGAGCTGTTTGTTCCCACCGTGGCACCCGGGCCCCACGCGTGGGAGCGGCCAGGGAGCGCCTGGACAGCCGGGAATGAGCTCCATTCCCTGATCCCCCCTCAGGCCGCGCTCTCGGAACTCGGGCTCCTGGGAATGGCCGAGCTGGGGGACAAGTTCAGGATCTCCTCAAAGGAAAGGCCTTCGTCCTCCAGGGGTATCTCTGCCTCGAACATGCGCTGCAGCAGAGCATCCACTGTCCTGTATCCTGGGGGGACAAAAACATGCCCTGTGAGCACCAGATGTGATCCTCTGGATGCCTTAAAACAGGCAAGAAAATCCCACAAATCACACTCCCTGCTGCTCCATCCCAGCTACTCTAAGTACTCCAAGCCCTTCTTGAAGGTAAGGCCGTTATTTGGGATTTTAAACCCTTCTATTCGCACACAGTGAAAAGCTGAGGTACAGCAGGAAAACCAGGAGCAGGAGGGAATAGTCACCGAGCCAGAAGAAATGATCCAAGGCAGTAGGAATGCAAAGCCCACAGAGGAAGGAGAAAGGAAAATGGGTCTTGGCACAGCAGGATCTCATCCAGCAGGGCAGTGTCTCCAGAGGGAGGCTACTGAGGACAAGGGACACAGAAGAGCTGAGGTGGGACAGGAGAAGATGCTACAGAAGTAAAAACAAACAACAAATCAAATATCACACGTCCACAGCTGTCCCGAAGTTTCCAGGTAGGGTTTAGCTCCTCTGTAGCCCCAAGGGAGCAGCAGGGATTGGGAGCTTCCCCAGGAACAGCCGGGAGATTTGGGCCTGGACACCCTGGAGGGTCACACTTACGTTTGGAGGCAATTTTGAACACCAGCCCTTTGCTCTGTGCCTTGGCTCCACCGTCCCCCTCGAGCTCGTGCTCTGCACTCTCCATGTTGTCGAGGAGCTGCTCATGCTGGAGCTCATCCCTGCACAGCAAGGACCAGGAATTACCCTGGGAAGGAGCCACATCCCACCCTGGGAGCCCGGCAGTGATGGGCTCTCAGCAGGGCAGGACAAGCACCACCCATGGGGTTATTTTCCAGCATCTCTCCTGTTCTTTGGGCTGGAATTCCAGCAAAGCCAACACCAGTGGCCTTCTACTGGCACCTAAGCCAGCAGAGGAGCCAGAACTTCGAGACAGGGGAGAGGAATCTCCATTTTTCAGGAAGATGAGCCAGACTTTGTGACAAGGAAGAGGAATGTGAGCTCACTCCTCGACACAGAGGGTGGTTTTCCCCCATCAGTGGTGCCAAACTGGCCACATCCAGCTTGGGTACATTTGGGGGCTTACTCTTGAACTCCCATTCCCAGCTCCTGGATTTTCTGCTCGATGGCAGTTTCCACTTCACTCTTCTCCAGGGAGTACTCCACAAAGAAAGCTTCCAGGATGAACGACACGAAGATGCTGCAAGAAACAACGAGCAGAACTGAGACAGCATTTCCTCCCTGGCTGTCTCAGCGTTCCCAGGCTCATTCCCCAGTACTCCATCCCCTCCCTCCAGGCCAGAGCAGCACCCAGTGGTGTCACCATGATATTTTCTGAAAAATCTGTTTGCCAGGATTTTTCTCCTGAGAAGCCTCAGAGAAGAAGAAAAACAATGGTTATCTGCTGCTGTGGAATGCAACAGGTGCATCTTTGATTGGTTCATGTTGGTTGTTTCTAATTAATGGCCAATCACAGCCCAGCTGGCTCAGACTCCCTGAGAGTCACCAGCTTTTGTTATCATTCCATTCTATTCCTTGCTAGCCTTCTGATGAAATCCTTTCTTTTAGCATAGTTTTAATATATCATTCTCTTTTAATATAATATATATAATAAAATAATAAATCAGCCTTCTGCAACATGGAATCAAGATTCTCATCTCTTCCCTTGTCCTGGCACCCCTGTGAACACCACCACCCAGTGTGGACAAGAGTGCAGCAGATCACTCTAAACCCATCCCACCCGTCTCCAGGGGGTGACCCCAGCACCCACCAGCACTGCCCTGACAGGGCAGATCCCCTTTTCCCCTAAAGCAGAGGAAATCACCCCAAAAAACATACTTGACAATGATTATCACCATCACAATGTGGAAGGCGATGAAGTAGAGCTTGGCAGGCTGACCTGTCACGTTGGCAAATCCATTGGCAAAGAGTGGAGTGGGAGTCAAGGGAAAAGAGGAAAGGAGGAGCTGAGGGGGGAGCCAGAAACCCAGCCAACGTCCCAGGGGAATTTCCAGCTGGGAATGTGCTCCACAAAGGATATCGTGCCACTGGTTGACCACAGTGAGCTCCATGAGCACGATGAAGGACGAGGCGAAGTTGTTGAAGTTGTTCTTGCAGTACTTGCCACGGGCAAACAGGGAATCCTTGAGAGCTGGATTCCCGCACTCCAGGGCGTGAGGAGCATTGGAGTTGGCTGGGAAGTACTGGATTTTCCCGTGGAATGCCTCCATGCCAATGATAGCAAACACACAATACACAACCTGGGGAGAGAAACCCCATCACCTGCTTCTCCAGCAAGCTGCAGGCCCCAGGGCAAGCTCAGCACCCCAGCAGGTTTCCCTGTTTCCACAGGCACAGCAAGGGGCTGGAGGGCAGCACAGACTCCAGGAGCCCCAAGCCACCCAACAGCAATCACCAAGCAGGAATAATTAGCCAAGAACTACAAATACACAGATAGGAAATATTCCCAAATCACAACAGAAGCTCATTTTAGGAAATCATGTGAAATCCAGGTTTCTCATTCAGCTTCTTGCCCAAACCATGATTTGATTCCTTATGATGCAAAGCCCAGGCTGCCAGAACACCCCATGGATCCAAGGAGGATGTCATGATCCAGGAAAAAGCAGGAATGCAGCGCTTTGCTTGCACAATGCCACAACTGAAATGGGTACTTACAGTTCCAAGGGCCTGCCATCCAGGGAATTGCATTTATCCCCTTGGAAACAGCATGAGTGTGAGGTTTATGATACATTTTTGTGAAACTGGAGTGCTTTGAGCCAAGACACCGGGATTTCTTACCAGAGTGAGCCCACCGAAGGTCAGCATGGTCGGGACGATGTTTATCAGGGTGTTCATGATCACCTGGAACCTGCAGAGAGCCCACACTGGTTACTGTCACACCCTGGCCACCCACGCTCCCCACATCCCCAGAGAGGCTCCTGCAGCCCTGGGATCCTCCCAAGGCCTTGGGAAGCTCTGAGGGGTGGCCACGGTCAGTGTGGGCGCACAGAGCACCAACCCCTCCCCAAAATCCAGCTCCCACTTCCCTCCTCACCTCTGGATGCTGTCAACAATCCGGATCAGCCTGAGCACTCTGAGGATGAACACAATGTCCAGGATCTGCTGGCTGTTGTACCTCATGGCTGAAAAACAGAACAAAGACGTTTTTGTTATGAAAATAAAGCAAGGAAGCGTTTAGATAAAATTCTTTCATTTGTTATGATTGTGTCCTTGTTAAACACTATGACAGGGAGCTAAAAAAAAAAAAAAAAAAGAGAAGAGAAAAAAAAGAGGAAGACTGGGTTAGTTCTTAGAAACCCTCTAGAAATTCCTTGTCTGGTCACAAAGCCTCTCAAGGCAGAAGGCTGGGGAGGACACCAGGGTTCCCAAGGCATGCAGGCTGCTCAGGCTGCACTTACTGGACTGGAGGGTGGCATTGAGAATCGTTGCAGTCAGGGCAGCAAAGATGATGAGAGTATCAAACCTGGCACGAGGGAAGGCACTGCTGTTAGATTTTGGGGGGACAGGGACAGGAGTGGGGTTTAAACAAGGAGTGACCCCTGCTCCTCACATCAGGGCCAGCTCAGGCTGTGGGCACATGGAGAGCTCTGTCACAACCACCTCTGATTCACCTGAAACACACCTTGGCACAGGAGTTCAGAGCCTTTCAGTCCTTGAGGAGCTGAGCACAGCACTCACCACACTCCACACAAACCTCCAGCCCACTCACCAGTTCCAGAACTGGGTTTTGCCAAAGAACTCCCTGGGTTCATAGGTGTAGACCTTCAGGAGGATCTCGATGACGTACAGAGCAAGGAACACCCACTCTGCATAGGAAATGCTATCCTCATCCAGAGCAATGAAGACAGCATTTATCAGGATGATGGCATCAAAAGTCCAAACAAAAGCCCTGCAAGAACCAAGAGAGATCAGTCTGCAGCTCCCAGGAAGGCCAAAGCCACACAGTTATTTCAGAAGCTCTTTGCCTCCTCTCTCAAAAATCCTTTACCCATCAGTTCTCCTCAAACCTGAGGATCTGAGGGAGTCACTGAAGTGTTTAGCCTTGCCCTTCAAGTCCAACACAGAATTTGGTTAACAGGGGAAGTGACTTTTCCCCACCTAGTCAGTACTGGTGAGGCCACACTTGGAGGTGCTGGGGGAGGAACCAGAGTGGGATGGGCTCCCCAGCACTGCAGAGGCCTGAACACACAGAGCTGGTGCAGCAAAGGGTCACAGAGCCGACAGAATGACAGCACAGTGCAATGGGATGTGTTGGGAGAGCTGGGCTAGTCCAGCCTGACGGGGAGAAGGGTCAGGAGCAGCTCCTGTGCATAAATACCTGATGGGAAGGTGCAGGGAAGATGGAGCCAGACTCTTCTCAGTGATATCCAGTGGAAGCACAAGAGGAAAGGGGCACAAGTTGCAATTCAGAAACTTCCATTTAAACAAAGAAGTTGCTAGGGCTTTTTTTTTTATTTTTACCAGGGGTGATCAAGCACAGGATGGGGTTGCATAGAGGTTTTGGAGCCTCCATCCTTTGGGGATACTCTAGACCCAGCTAGGACAGCCCTGAGTACCCTCCTGTGGCTGACCTTGCTTGGAGCAGGGGCTTCCACTAGATGTTCCTTGCAACTTCAGCTATTCTGGGACCCTTGGAAGGCTCAGAGGGGGAAGAGAGCTCTAGGGAACTCGCAGAGCTGATGAGGCAGCAGGACACAGCTCTGCAGCAGAGACTGCTGAGCTAGGAGCTCTGAGTGCGTGGCAGGGCACAAAGCAGAGCCTGATGTCAGCAAAACCCAGCTCGGGCAGCGGGGCCTCGCCCACAGCCACAGCTGGTTCCTCCACACTGAGCAGGAGCAGCAGCAGAGCCCTGAGGGTCTGTCAGCACATCCAGGGGAGCCCTGGGCCCCATCAGAGCTCACCTGTGCCTGACGAGGCCGCGCAGGAGCCGGCTGGGCGCGGATCCGTACAGCGCCGGCGCCCAGCGCGCCAGGGGGTGCCTGCGGATCTTCAGCGTCACCACCTGGATGTTGAGCAGGTCTGCCAGCTGCACGAAGGACTTCTTGTCTGCAGCAGAGGGCCAGGGTCAGCCTGGGCTCATGGCAAGCAAACAGTGCCTGCTAAAGGCACAGCCGAGCCCACGGGAGCGGCAGCCATCCGGGCTCCTCGGTCTCTGCTCCCAGCAAAGCCAATCCCAGTGTGTCCACTACAATGGGCTGGACTTGGAATTCAAGCGGCTTCTCCACCCCATTCCTGGGGAATTGGCTTGAGCCATGGGCCAACAACCACCACAGAAGGGTTCAGAACAAGGAGAGTGACCCATCTCTCTGGATATTCCCTCTCCAGAGGACTGTGTGGGGAGCCACATTGTATCTGATAACAAGGGAGGCTTTCCACATCCTCTGCTCAGAACAGGAGGGCCCACATGCCATGGACAGCCTGGCCTGATGCCAAATGGCCATGAAGGGCCACTCACAGTGTGTGGGACATGGGCTATAGCACAAGCAGCAAGAACAACCTTTTGGGACTCCAGCAATCTGGAGGGAAACAGGAAGAGGGGCCCAGAGACCTCATTCCTGGAGGGGCTCAAGGAACGACTGAAAATGGCACTCAGTGCTCTGGGCTGGGTGGGGAACAGGCACGGGTTGGACTCTACCTTGGAGCCTTTTCCAACCCCAATGACTGTCATTCTGAGTCCCTCTGGGGCCGTTACAGATCAAAACCCCCAATGCCAAACCCCTGGAAGGATCAGGCTCCCGGCTCCTCCCCAGTCCCCACTGCTCACCTACAAACCCTTTCTGCTCGTCATCCGAGATGCGGAGCAGCAGCTCCCGGTGGGAATTGCTGGTGTCAGGAGCCACCAGCTTCACCAGCTGCTTCCAGCGGGCCTCCCGGACCACAAACTGCTCTCCCTCCTCTTCCTTCAGCAGGTTGAAGGCCTCGATCATCTTGCGGCGCTTCATGTAGGCGAGCTTACGGATCTCATTCTGGAGAGAGCGCTGGGAGTCAGTCCCAGGTGCCCTCTCCCCATTCCTTAACAAAAAAACTCATTTGCACAACACAGAGGTGCAAGAAGAGACCCAGGGGAATGGCACTGGACACAAAGCACAGTTAATGTATGAGGGCGTGAGGGTAAGAATTGGTGTTTAACAGGCGGCTGTGGGTTCTCCACACGGAGCTCTGGAAGCATCAGCAGATTGCTGGATGCTGGGACAGCACTGAAAAACCGGAAGGAAAGACAAAGGGTAGTGCCAGACAGGAAGGAGGTGACAAAAATCACGGGATCTGCATGGCCACAGAGGCAAAGAGGATGTGTCCACACATGCTTCCCATCCACAAGTGAATCCTGCTGAGAGCAGGGCTGGGGATCCCCTTCTGCACACGACTGTGAGCAGAGGGACATCCAGAACTCTGCTTCCTGAGAAAGATCCAACCCTCTCATGGGAGCACCCAGGAATTCCCAGCTCTCATCCTTTGATCACAAGTCCCAAACTGCCCCTACAAAAATTCTGATTTACTCAGACCTCCCATTTCCAAATCACTTGCTCTCAGAGCACAGGCAAAGATGGTGTGCAAAAACAGTTCCCTGCATGGAGACAGCATTCCTGAGCTAGCACTAAGCCTCCAAGATAATGCAGAATATGCTTCTTATCAGTGGGAAACACCATAGAATGTTTCCATCAATGCCAACAGCAGAACTCCCTATAATCCCATGATAGGAGAAGTGGGACTGTGCTTGTTGTTTGCAAGAAGCTCTTTCCCCTTCTCAAAGCTTTCCGAGGGAAAGACAGAGGCTCCTGACAGAGAACAGCAGGAAGGCCACAAACCCCTCCAGGCATTACCTTCAGGTGTTTTTTGTAGTTGTTGTAGACCACAGCCAGGAAGAGAGACATGAAGATGTAAGTGTTGACGATGACGAAGGCGATGAAGAACAGGGCGTACCACGAGCTGAAGTCAAATGCTGGCATCCTAGAGAAGGGGAGAGGGATTGCTGCTTGCCAGACTGACAAAAGCGAGCCCATGAGAAAACAGGCTACCACGTGGATTTCCAAGTGCTGTTTTGGACTGCCAGATCAAACTCATCAGACAAAAGCTAAAAACTGCATTAGTTCAGTTAGAGAACACTTTTCTTCTGCTGGGTTTTCATCCTGGTTTGTCAGGCCCTGACTGAAGGGGTGCAGAAGACAGCAGAGAGATGAAATCTCTGCCAGTGCAGCCAAGTTTAAGAGCAGACATGAGGCAATGCCTCAGCCAGATGCTATTTTTTGGCCTCAGACCCTTGTTGCTCTCGCATCTGCTTTTCCACTTGCTCTAGGATGAGGAGCATTTTATTTCTCAGTTTAACTTCCCAGGGTCACTGTACCATTGCAGTTGTGCTGAAGACATTTCCAGCACATGGATGACTGAGCCCTTCCTCCCTGTCCTACTCCTGACAGCACTTCCCAACACAAACTACAATGGGAACCCAGAAGAGATAGGGATGAAGAGCCCAACACCCACAGAATTTTAACTCTGCTGTGCAAATCAGAGGCTGCACAGAGCACCCTGAGAGCACAGTGAGAGAAAGATCTGATCATTCACATGTGACATCCATACATGACATCTGGGCTGTTTGCTGTGGTCACCAGCACGTAGAGGTCAAACACAATCTCCAGGTAGTTTTTGAAGTAGGGGAGGCCTTCTGCTGTCTGGAGATTCCTGGGAGGAAGAGGAGAGCCAGGAGTTAAGCACTGGGATCACACGTCCCTTGCATTCCCTAGGAATTGCTTGGAGTGAGCCCAGAGTATCCCAGGAGCAAAGGAAGTACCCACACCTCTCTCCAAACAGCTTCAGGGCCATGAGGGAGAACATGAGGAGGCTGAACATGAAGAGCAGGAAGACGTAGGTGATCTCGGGCAGCGTGTTGCGGATGCTGCGCAGCGCCCTCCGGATCTGCCGGGACAAGGGAATGTTCAGAGACAATGTGGCACCCCTTTTTCCCCATCCCACCTGGATCCAACCCCTGAAATGGGGTGCAAGAGACCCAGGCCTTTCCTCCTTGTTCATCAGGGGGATCCTAGAAGGAAAGGCCTCAGCTACAAATCACAGTGAGCTCAGGAGCCAAGGGACATAGCGCCCCAGGACACTGCCAAGATGCTCTTGCTGCAAGGAACCACTCAAGGACAGAAATCCATCACTCCAGGCCACAAAACACAGGCTCTGAGCCCAAATGCTGAGCTTCTCCCTCCCCCAGGCCTCCACATTGCAGTGTATTCATTTGTAAGTCAGGCCCAGGCCAGTCTTGGGCAGCAGGACAAAGATCTCTCCGTGCTGAGGGGAATCAGAGTCCAAACCCAGACTACAGCACTTGTTTACCCAGGAGACTTCCAGCAATCAGTAACCTGGTCCCTGACTCAGGGAGAAACACAGGGGGTTTTCCTGTGATACTATGTGAACCCACCCTTTTGCCCACCTGAAATTATTGCTTCAGGCCACTTCTGAAACAAACCTTCTCTCACAGAACTCTAAATTCTGCCTGAGGGTTTCTCCTCCCCAGCAGCACATCCAGGAGAGCCCTGGGCCCTGGCAGAACTCACCTGTACCAGGGCTCATAAAACCTTTCTGCTAAATCTCCTGGATTGTGGAAAGCAGCAGGCTGTCTGAAAAACCAGGACCCTGGATATGCCACCAGACCTTTTCTTTACCTGGCGGCTCTCTGCGAAGTTGATGAGAAAGATGGGCCTCATAAACCTTGACCACCGGATGCTCCTCACACCATACAGCCTGAGGACCCCATATATGCCCAGGTCTGTCAGGGATAGCTGTGGGAGAAAGAAGGAAAGCTCCCAGAATTAATGCTGGAATGTGTCTAGACAGTGAAGTGGTTGTTGATAGAGGAGAGGTGACACATGAGAGGTTTGTGAGATCTGGTTGGCTTGGCAATGGCTCATGTATGCCAGGTCTGGGATCCCAGGAAAGCAACATGAGGGGGGGAAAAACCCACCTCCCCTGGGCCCAACTCACCAGGATTGCCCCCATGATGCAGATGTTCTTGGCGTCCTTCCAGAACACGTTGTGCAAGGTGACTTTGGCAAAGTGTGTCAGGCGGCCGAGGAACACCAGCAGGCACAACACCTCCAGCACTGACGTGGCCTGCAGAGAGAGCAGGGCTCAGCCAGCACAACCAGGAGCTGCAATATTCCTTTTTGCACAATAAAAAACAGCCAGAGCAGTATTTTCAGCCTTTCTTTTGCAGAATTCCCTGCCACAGGCAGGTTAAAGCCAGCAAGTCTGTGTTTGCTTGGGATTCAAGGAGTGCATCTTTCACAATCACACTGGTGCAGGACAAATAAAGGCTGCAGAAAAGTCTGGCCTAAAGTAAAATTTGGCTTCTATTTTCATGCATGAGGACTGGACTTGAGTCCCAAAAAAGGCTGGAATTGGTCTCTGGGATGGAGAACAGTAACATGACTTTGACCACAGTCACATAGGCCATTGCTGGTGGCCACAATGGCTCCCACAGTCCCTGGCCAGTTCCTGTGCCTTTTTTGTCCCCATTTCAGACAGATCACAGAATTATAAAGTCACAGAATCACTTGGGTTGAAGGGGACCATAAAGATAATCCCATTCCACCCCCTGCCATGGACAGGGACACCTTCCACTACCCCAGGCTGCTCCAAGCCCCATCCAGCCTGGCCTGGAACACTTCCAGGGATGGGGCAGCCACAGCTTCTCTGGAAACCTGTGCCAGGGCCTCACCACCATCACAGGGGACAATTTCTTTCCAATATCCCATCTAATCCTGCCCTCTTGCAGTGGGAAGCCATTCCCCCTTGTCCCACCAAGGCCCTTGTTGTCTTTATCCATCTTTCTCATTGGCCATTTCAAGTACTGGAAGAGCCAATTAGGTCACTCTGAAGCTTCTCCAGGCTGAACAACCCCAATTCTCTCAGCTTTTCCTCACAGCAGAGCTGTTCCACCCCTCTGACCAACTTGGTGACCTCCTCTGGACTCGCTCCAACTTTCCATGTCCTTCCTGTGCTGGTCCTGACCTAGAGCTGGATGCAGGACTCCAGGTGAGGTCTCACCAGAGCAGAGGATCAAAGATACCACAAAACATCTCCATCCACTGTCTCTTGGCACCTCTGACAACCACTTTGAAGCAAGAAGCCCTTGCTGGCTCCAGCTGCTGCATTGGCTGCTCCTACACCACAAACTCACCAGGAAGGGGAGTGGATACACAGCAGGTTCCTCAAACAGGGCAAGGGACAGGTTGAGGAAGATGAAGAAGTAGGTGGCTGTTCGCATCATCCAGTGGTTGTAGAGGTGATAGAGCCTGGAGGAAGAAGGCACAGGCACCATAAATAAAGGCTACAGGGCACATCCCCAGGATATCACCAAATGTGTCCTGGAAGAACAGCACTTGCTGTCCCAAACAAACATTACTGCCAGCAAGGAATTTGGCAATTTGTTTCCAAATCAGCTTTAGAGCTGATGGATATGGTACTGCCTTCCAGAGCAGGGTTAAATAACAGAATATTTATTATAGCAAACAAAAAATATTTAACTTGATTCTGCCACTCCTTCCACACAGCTGAGAGCTGACCAAGCCTCCCACACCCTTCATTGCCCCAGAGGCTTGGAAGACTTGACGTTAGTTTTATTTTCTCCCCTCCAGCAAACCACAGCTTTTTAATGTTAATTCCCATCCTCAACATACAGATGTGCTGAGCCCCGTTTTAGGCATTTCAGCTTAAACCCAGATTTTAGCACCCCACCCATCCACCCCTCTCAGCACCCCTGATTTTCCCGGCTGTTGCTGTTTGCCCACGGATGCCGCTGGCTCTCCGCAGGTGCGGTCGGGCCGGGGGCGCATCCCTGCTTACCTGACAGCCTCCGGAGAGGTCCTGAAAGGAATATTCCTGTTGTACTGCGCGTCGGACACGAACGCCGCTGCCAGCAGCAGATCCTGGGGGAAACACAGGACAGCGTGTGAGGAGCTGCGGGGAACTCCGCGGGGTTATCAGGGGAAGGAGGAGAGGGAGAAAGGAGGGAGAGTGCCTGGGGGCTCGGCGCTACCTGCTCTGCCGCCTCGGCCATGGCGCGGGCGGACGCGGCGCCTCCCCGGGCTCGCCGCCTTTAACGGGGCCGGTCCCGCCCCCGCGGCGGCGGAAGCGGGAGGCGGCGCCGGGCCCGGCGGAGCGGGAGCGGGCCCGGGATGGTGCTGGAGGCGCTGCGGCCGCGGGTGGTGCGCTGGGCGCTGCTGGCCGCCTTCGCCGCCGGGGTGGCCGTGGGCTGGCAGGCGGGCCGGGCGCGCCGCCGCTTCCTGCGCTGGCGGCAGCGATACCTCCAGCGCCGCCTCGCCGCAGCACAGGAGAAGCTGGAAGCGGCCTGAGCCCGGCATGGCCTGGCAGCGGGCTCCGAGCGGATCCTCCGGTGGGTTCGGCTCCTCCGGAGCTCCCGTGAGCGCTGCCTGAGCCGCTGGGAACGGGGGAAGCGCTGCTGGGGAAGGACAGCATCCGTAGGATGGCAGGGCTGCCGGCTGGACAGCATCCGTGGAATAGCGGAAAGGACAGCATCCGTGGAATAGCAGGGCTCCTGGAGAAGGACATCATCCGTGGAATAGCAGTGCTGCCAGAGAGAACAGCATCCATAGAATACCAGGACTTCTCTTCCTCCCTTCGCAAAGCAAGATCCCCAACTGTGTCAGACTAACCTAAGAACTGAGGATATGCAAGCAGCGATGCCAAGCCTGGAATGGACTGTTCAGGGAGGTTTGGAGTCCCTATCCCTGCAGGTGTCCAAGGAACAACTGGACGTGGCACGCGGTGCTCTGGGCTGGGTGACAAGGTGGGGATCGCTCACGGGTTGCACTCGGTGATCTCGGAGGTCATTTCTAAGCTCGGCGATTCCATGATTCTCGGATTTCCATATTCCACAGAAGGGTTGTCTGCACGTGTCCAGCTCTAAGCCTGCTGCTCTGCCCTTGCCAGGAAGCGCTGCCAACACAATAAACTAGCAAAAGTCATTGCATGGTGCTCCTAGGTGTTTATTTCTGGAATGAATGTGAAAACGTGCCTTATGGGCACATGTAACAAGTCCCATTATGGGTGTGCATGGGGACAATTAAGTGGTGTAAGAGTTCATGCTTTGGCTGGGAATGAACAAGTGAAATAATAAAGGAGGAAGAATTCCTTCTGGCACTTTGGATAAGGAATTGTGAAGGTAGCTGTAGCAAATTCCTTCTTATTGCTAGAGAATGCCAGGAGACAGGAGTGCTGGGGGATTCATTGCAGGCTGCTGGTTTTCAGAGGTATTATGGAGTTCTCAAATCTACTGGGGGGGGGCGGAGGAAACACTGCCCCTTAAGGCTTTGTCTTGATCTTGGACCTCCTTCCCAAACGTAGCGATCCTGCCATCAGACCGGGTGTTCTGCAGAGGTGCCTTCCAGCTCCTCCTATTCCGTGGTTCCGTGGCTGGGATCACAAAACGCCACCTCGTTTGTCCCCAGATGAG